GTATCACAGGTGGTGGATGGGTAATGTAGTGTTTCTCACATTGAGCGAGCCCAGCAGGATGAGCGTGTTTCCGATGCCCAGGTGATAGATGGACCTGAGGATCAGAGCGAGGGTCAGAGGCTGCAGCCCGTAACGCTGAGAGAACAAACCCAACACGGAGAGGCCGGTCAGGATCCAGAACAACATCAGGAGCAAGGAGTCATCGATCGCTCCCACTGAGGAGGAGGAGAGGAGGAGAGAGGAGGAGGAAGGAGGAAGAGGAGGAAGAGGAGAGGAGGAGGAGAGGAGAGGAGAGGAGGAGGGAGGAGAGGAGAGGAGAGGAGGAGGGAGGAGAGGAGAGGAGAGGAGGAGGGGAGGAGGAGAGGAGGAGGAGAGGAGGAGGAGGAAGGAGGAGGGGAGGAGAGGAGGAGGAAGAGGAAGAGAGGAGGAGGAGGAGAGGAGGAAGAGAAGAGGAGAGGAGAGGAGGAGGAGGAAGAGGAGGAGGAGGAGGAAGAGGAGAGGAGGAGAGGAGGAGGAGAGGAGGAAGAGGAGGAGGAGGGAGGAGGAAGAGGAGGAGGAAGAGGAGAGGAGGAGGAGGAGAGGAGGAGGAAGAGGAGAGGAGGAGGAGAGGAGGAGGAGGAGGAGAAGGAAGAGGAGGAGGAGAGGAGGAGGAAGAGGAGGAGGAGGAGGAGGAGGAGGAGAGGAGGAGAGGAAGAAGAGGAGAGGAGGAGGAGAGGAGGAAGAGGAGGAGGAGGGAGGAGGAAGAGGAGGAGGAAGAGGAGAGGAGGAGGAGGAGAGGAGGAGGAAGAGGAGAGGAGGAGGAGAGGAGAGGAGGAGGAGGAGGAGAGAAGGAAGAGGAGGAGGAGAGGAGGAGGAAGAGGAGGAGGAGGAGGAGGAGAGGAGGAAGAGGAAGAAGAGGAGGAGGAGGAGGAGAGGAGAGGAGAGGAGAGGAGGAGGGGAGGAGAGGAGAGGAGAGGAGGAGGAGAGGAGGAAGAGGAGGAAGAGGAGGAGAGGAGAGGAGAGGAGAGGAGGAGGGGAGGAGAGGAGAGGAGAGGAGGAGGAGAGGAGAGGAGGAGGAGGAGGGGAGGAGGGGAGGAGGAGAGGAGAGGAGGAGAGGAGGAGGGAGAGGAGGAAGAGGAAGAGGAGAGGAGAGGAGGAGGAAGAGGAGGAGGAGGAGGAAGAGGAGAGGAGGGAGAGGAGGAGGAGAGGAGGAAGAGGAGGAGGAGGGGAGGAGGAAGAGGAGGAGGAAGAGGAGAGGAGGAGGAGGAGGAGGAGGAAGAGGAGAGGAGGAGGAAGAGGAGAGGAGGAGGAGAGGAGAGGAGGAGGAGGAGGAGGAGAAGGAAGAGGAGGAGGAGAGGAGGAGGAAGAGGAGGAGGAGGAGGAGGAGAGGAGGAAGAGGAAGAAGAGGAGGAGGAGGAGGAGAAGGAGGAAGAGGAGGAGGAGGAAGAGGAGGAAGAGGAGGAGGAGGAGGAGAGGAGAGGAGGAGGAAGAGGAGGAGGAGGAGAGAGGAGGAGGAGGAGGAGAGGAGGAAGAGGAGGAGGAGGAGGAGGAGGAGAAGGAGGAGGAGGAGGAAGAGGAAGAGGAGGAGAGAGAGAGAGAGAATCATTACTGGTAAGACTTCTCTTCATTGTAATGAGTCAAACTTTAATCCACTTCTGCTTCTCTTTTCGTCTGATTAGAAGTTTTGAACGTGTTCCTGATATGAAACCTTTCTGTTGACCTCCAGCACCACCATCAGGACAAACTGTGTACTGCGTCCTCCATGAGGGTTTAATAATGTTCATACCTTGTCCTGAGTTGTAGGGGTAGAAGAAGGCGATGATGAGGTTGATGAAGACGGCGAGGTTGAAGGAGATCGTTCCCCACAGAGACATCCTCCTGGAGAACCAGAACAACACGGGCATACCTGCAACACACACACACACACACACACACACACACTTTTATACTCTGTTGTTCAACATGCTACAACACTTTCAGAAGTGAAGTAAAAGAGTCCAGCACCGTGTGCACAGTGTGTGTGTGTGTGTGTGTGTGTGTGTGTGTGTGTGTGTGTGTGTGTGTGTGTGTGTGTGTGTGTGTGTGTGTGTGTGTGTGTGAGAGCGCGCTCACTCCTCAGCTTCTTCTGCCACTCCATCTCTCCGTGCAGGAAAGACGTCTGTTCAAAGAAGTGCGTGACCTTTGACCCCTGCTCGTCCTGCTCTGTGGTGTTGAACACTCGGCACTTGGACTCCTCGGTCAGAAACTCGCAGATCGGATGAACGGGAAACACGATCTGCTCCATGCTGCGGTCCTCGCGCACGATCTACACACAGAGAGAGTGAGAGCGAGCAGACCGGATGAACACGGACAGTAGAGTTTAAAAGAGATGGGATGAGGGTTATAAACAGAAGTATTAGTGTTACCTCTATCTGTGAGGTGAGCAGCTCGTAGTACTCCAGAGGATCCTGCTCGACCACAACAGCTGGAGCTGAAGACTTCAACATCTGAGACAGAGGACGATTATTCAGGTTCAGCTGAGGAGAGAGAGACAGAGAGAGAGTTCAGAGAGCTGACAAAGACCAACTGATGGAAGGATGGATGGATGTAAGGATGTAAGGATGGATGTAAGGATGTAAGGATGGATGTAAGGATGGATGTAAGGATGTAAGGATGGATGTAAGGATGGATGTAAGGATGGATGTATTTAAGGATGGATGTAAGGATGGATGTAAGTATGTAAGGATGGATGTAAGGATGTAAGGATGGATGTAAGGATGGATGTAAGGATGTAAGGATGGATGTAAGGATGTAAGGATGTAAGGATGGATGTAAGGATGGATGTAAGGATGTAAGGATAGATGTAAGAATGGATGTAAGGATAGATGTAAGGATGTAAGGATGGATGTAAGTATGTAAGGATGGATGTAAGGATTTAAGGATGGATGTAAGGATGTAAGGATGGATGTAAGGATGGATGTAAGGATGTAAGGATGGATGTAAGGATGGATGTAAGGATGTAAGGATAGATGTAAGAATGGATGTAAGGATAGATGTAAGGATGTAAGGATGGATGTAAGGATGTAAGGATAGATGTAAGAATGGATGTAAGGATGGATGTAAGGATGTAAGGATGGATGTAAGGATGGATGTAAGGATGTAAGGATGGATGTAAGGATGGATGTAAGGATGGATGTATTTAAGGATGGATGTAAGGATGGATGTAAGGATGTAAGGATGGATGTAAGGATTTAAGGATGGATGTAAGGATGGATGTAAGGATGGATGTAAGGATGGATGTAAGGACGTAAGGTTGGATGTATTTAAGGATGGATGTAAGGTGTAAGGATGGATGTAAGGGTGGATGTAAGGATGGATGTAAGGATTTAAGGATAGATGTAAGGATGTAAGGATGAACGTAAGGATGGATGTAAGGATGGTAGGATGGATGTAAGGGTATAAGGATGAATGTAAGGATGGATGTAATGATGAACGTAAGGATGGATGTAAGGATGGTAGGATGGATGTAAGGATGTAAGGATGAACGTAAGGATAGATGTAAGGATGGTAGGATGGATGTAAGGGTATAAGGATGAATGTAAGGATGGATGTAAGGATGGTAGGATGGATGTAAGGATGTAAGGATGACATAAGGATGGATGTAAGGATGTAAGGATAGATGTAAGAATGGATGTAAAGATAGATGTAAGGATGTAATGATGAACGTAAGGATGGATGTAAGGATGGTAGGATGGATGTAAGGATGTAAGGATGACGTAAGGATGGATGTAAGGATGTAAGGATAGATGTAAGAATGGATGTAAAGATAGATGTAAGGATGGATGTATTTAAGGATGGGTGTAAGTATGTAAGGATGGATGTAAGGATGTAAGGATAGATGTAAGGATACATGTAAGGATGTAAGGATGGATGTAAGGATGGATGTATTTAAGGATGGATGTAAGGATGGATGTAAGTATGAAAGGATGGATGTAAGGATGGATGTAAGGATGTAAGGATGGATGTAAGGATTTAAGGATGGATGTAAGGATGGATGTAAGGATGGATGTAAGGTGGGCTGTAAGGATGGATGTAAGGATGGATGTAAGGATGGATGTAAGGATGGATGTAAGGACGTAAGGTTGGATGTAAGGGTGGATGTAAGGATGGATGTAAGGATTTAAGGATAGATGTAAGGATGTAAGGATGAACGTAAGGATGGATGTAAGGATGGTAGGATGGATGTAAGGATGGATGTAAGGATGGATGTAAGGATGGATGTAAGGATTTAAGGATAGATGTAAGGATGTAAGGATGAACGTAAGGATGGATGTAAGGATGGATGTAAGGATGGATGTAAGGACGTAAGGTTGGATGTATTTAAGGATGGATGTAAGGATGGATGTAAGGACGTAAGGTTGGATGTATTTAAGGATGGATGTAAGGGTGTAAGGATGGATGTAAGAATGGATGTAAGGACGTAAGGATGGCTGGATGTAAGGATGGATGTAAGGATGGATGTAAGGACGTAAGGTTGGATGTATTTAAGGATGGATGTAAGGATGGATGTAAGGATGGATGTAAGGGTGGATGTAAGGATGGATGTAAGGATTTAAGGATAGATGTAAGGATGTAAGGATGAACGTAAGGATGGATGTAAGGATGGTAGGATGGATGTAAGGGTATAAGGATGAATGTAAGGATGTAAGGATGGATGTAATGATGAACGTAAGGATGGATGTAAGGATGTAAGGATGGACGTAAGGATGGATGTAAGGATGAATGTAAGGATGGATGTAAGGATGAATGTAAGGATGGATGTAAGGATGAATGTAAGGATGGATGTAAGGATGGATGTAAGGGTGTGAGGTTGGATGTAAGGATGTGAGGTTGGATGTAAGGATGTGAGGTTGGATGTAAGGATGTGAGGTTGGATGTAAGGATGTGAGGTTGGATGTATTTAAAGATGGATGTAAGGATGTGAGGTTGGATGTATTTAAAGATGGATGTAAGGATGTAAGGTTGGATGTATTTAAAGATGGATGTAAGGATGTGAGGATGGATGTAAGGATGTAAGGTTGGATGTATTTAAAGATGGATGTAAGGATGTGAGGTTGGATGTAAGGATGTAAGGTTGGATGTAAAGGTGTGAGGTTGGATGTAAGGATGTGAGGTTGGATGTAAAGGTGTGAGGTTGGATGTAAGGATGTGAGGTTGGATGTAAGGATGTGAGGTTGGATGTATTTAAAGATGGATGTAAGGATGTAAGGTTGGATGTAAAGGTGTGAGGTTGGATGTAAGGATGTGAGGTTGGATGTAAAGGTGTGAGGTTGGATGTAAGGATGTGAGGTTGGATGTAAAGGTGTGAGGTTGGATGTAAGGATGTAAGGTTGGATGTAAGGATGTGAGGATGGATGTATTTAAAGATGGATGTAAAGATGTGAGGTTGGATGTATTTAAAGATGGATGTAAGGATGTGAGGATGGATGTATTTAAAGATGGATGTAAAGATGTAAGGTTGGATGTATTTAAAGATGGATGTAAGGATGTGAGGTTGGATGTAAGGATGTGAGGTTGGATGTATTTAAAGATGGATGTAAAGATGTGAGGATGGATGTATTTAAAGATGGATGTAAAGATGTAAGGTTGGATGTATTTAAAGATGGATGTAAAGATGTAAGGTTGGATGTATTTAAAGATGGATGTAAAGATGTGAGGATGGATGTATTTAAAGATGGATGTAAAGATGTAAGGTTGGATGTATTTAAAGATGGATGTAAGGATGTGAGGTTGGATGTAAGGATGTGAGGTTGGATGTATTTAAAGATGGATGTAAGGATGTGAGGATGGATGTATTTAAAGATGGATGTAAAGATGTAAGGTTGGATGTATTTAAAGATGGATGTAAGGATGTGAGGTTGGATGTAAAGGTGTGAGGTTGGATGTAAAGGTGTGAGGTTGGATGTAAGGATGTGAGGTTGGATGTATTTAAAGATGGATGTAAGGATGTGAGGTTGGATGTATTTAAAGATGGATGTAAGGATGTAAGGTTGGATGTAAAGGTGTGAGGTTGGATGTAAGGATGTGAGGTTGGATGTAAAGGTGTGAGGTTGGATGTAAGGATGTGAGGTTGGATGTAAAGGTGTGAGGTTGGATGTAAGGATGTGAGGTTGGATGTAAGGATGTGAGGTTGGATGTAAGGATGTGAGGTTGGATGTAAAGGTGTGAGGTTGGATGTAAGATGGATGTAAGGATGTAAGGTTGGATGTAAAGGTGTGAGGTTGGATGTAAGGATGTGAGGTTGGATGTAAAGGTGTGAGGTTGGATGTATTTAAAGATGGATGTAAGGATGTGAGGTTGGATGTAAAGGTGTGAGGTTGGATGTAAGGATGTGAGGTTGGATGTAAGGATGTGAGGTTGGATGTAAAGGTGTGAGGTTGGATGTATTTAAAGATGGATGTAAGGATGTGAGGTTGGATGTAAAGGTGTGAGGTTGGATGTAAGGATGTGAGGTTGGATGTAAAGGTGTGAGGTTGGATGTAAAGGTGTGAGGTTGGATGTAAGGATGTAAGGTTGGATGTAAAGGTGTGAGGTTGGATGTAAGGATGTAAGGTTGGATGTAAAGGTGTGAGGTTGGATGTAAGGATGTGAGGTTGGATGTAAAGGTGTGAGGTTGGATGTAAGGATGTAAGGTTGGATGTAAAGGTGTGAGGTTGGATGTAAGGATGTAAGGTTGGATGTAAAGGTGTGAGGTTGGATGTAAGGATGTAAGGTTGGATGTAAAGGTGTGAGGTTGGATGTAAAGGTGTGAGGTTGGATGTAAAGGTGTGAGGTTGGATGTAAGGATGTGAGGTTGGATGTATTTAAAGATGGATGTAAGGATGTGAGGTTGGATGTAAGGATGTGAGGTTGGATGTAAAGGTGTGAGGTTGGATGTAAGGATGTGAGGTTGGATGTAAAGGTGTGAGGTTGGATGTAAGGATGTGAGGTTGGATGTAAAGGTGTGAGGTTGGATGTAAGGATGTAAGGTTGGATGTAAGGATGTGAGGTTGGATGTAAGGATGTGAGGTTGGATGTAAAGGTGTGAGGTTGGATGTAAGGATGTGAGGTTGGATGTATTTAAAGATGGATGTAAGGATGTAAGGTTGGATGTAAAGGTGTGAGGTTGGATGTAAGGATGTGAGGTTGGATGTAAAGGTGTGAGGTTGGATGTATTTAAAGATGGATGTAAGGATGTGAGGTTGGATGTAAAGGTGTGAGGTTGGATGTAAGGATGTGAGGTTGGATGTAAGGATGTGAGGTTGGATGTAAAGGTGTGAGGTTGGATGTATTTAAAGATGGATGTAAGGATGTGAGGTTGGATGTAAAGGTGTGAGGTTGGATGTAAGGATGTGAGGTTGGATGTAAAGGTGTGAGGTTGGATGTAAAGGTGTGAGGTTGGATGTAAGGATGTAAGGTTGGATGTAAAGGTGTGAGGTTGGATGTAAGGATGTAAGGTTGGATGTAAAGGTGTGAGGTTGGATGTAAGGATGTGAGGTTGGA